CATTTTGCCTAAAGTGTTATGGTTAATTTCATATTCATCAAATTAATGATTACAAAAAGTACATAAATAACATAAAATTTTACTATTTTACTATCGTAGTACAGCAGATGAACACATTATGGGACACGTTAAAGCTAATTATCTGCGAACTGGTTTCATAAATGGGAAAATTTGATATGATTAGCTGCTATATTATTGAAAATATTTTGTCGCTCATTGATTTGAATTGATTACAATTATTGGCAGAATGACTGTCATAATAGCGCTTACGTTTCTAAATGGCAGTATCTACAATATTTCTAAATAATTTCTAAATTACTTATTGCCACATTTATTAATAAAAAAGTCTTCGTATACTGGTATCTGCTTGTATATTTTAATAATGTATTCAAGGTTGTTTACCAACGTGATTCTGGAAATCCATGATTTAAATAATAGAAATCACTTTCATAAAGGAAAAAAGTTTGTTTTAAAGGTTGATATATAACATTTGTTTCTGTAACATAGAACATCAATTTTTTAAGCATTTAAAATGATACCATTATCCTTTTATTTCAAGCTGGTTGTGAAAACATACCACTTACAAATGGAGAAATGAATCCAAATAAGACCTTTTACGAAGTGAATTCAAATGCAACTGTTGCATGTGAAGAAGGTTATCAAACAAACAGTACAACAGTTAATTGTGTGCAAAATAGAAATACATTTGGATGGAATAGGCCTCCTCGGTGTAGCCCAGTTAATTGCATTTATCCAGGAAATCCTGTAAAAGGGTATTATTTAATTAACACCATGTTGTAATTGTGTTTCAATTAAACACGTCACTGCCATTCGGAAGTAGAATTACAGGAATGTGCTATCTAGGCTTTGAAAACAAAAACGGGGGCCTTAGAATATGTCAAAGTAACAAACAGTAGAGCGGTCACCAACCAGTATGTAATAAAAAGCAATGCCCTTATCCAGAACATATTCTTAATGGTGAATATAGCTTTGAAAACGGGAGTGTATATGGTAATGGACCTTCTTACTTTAATACATCTATATATATGACATGCAAAAAAGGTTATTTTCTCCATGGCGTAAGAGAACGTTTTTGCAATGGTATAACAATTTGGCAGGGAAGTTCTAGCTGTCAAATAAATACCTGCAAGGCTCCAACAGTACCCGAGAATACCCTGTACTTAGAGAAAGAAGCCAATGACTCATTTTTACAATATAATAGTGGACAGTTCAATTACCTTGATAAGGTACAAGTGGTTTGTCGGCTCGGATACATTAACAATGCACCCATAAAAGTCAAAGAATGTTTAGAAAATAAAACATGGAGCGGAGACTTTGGTAACTGCATCGTTATAACATGTAATGAACTTGCTGACTTAGTGAATGGATTTTATAACTATTCAGATGATAAAAAATCTAATGGATATCCATACAACACAATTGTTACAGCAACATGTAAGGATTCATTTCAGCTCTTGAACCCAAGAAGCAAAAGTCGGAAATGCAATGCTATTGGTGAGTGGGACAACGAGCCAGCCATGTGCAGTAAGTGTTTCTCTTTATATATTGAAAGATATTCATTCATCATATTCATTATTTAAATATTTTGATACAATATTATAGATAAGTTATATGTTTTGCATTCCTGTTTAGAACTAGACAGTCTTTATTAACTTTGTCTTATAAAATTATGTCGAAAAAAATCACGTGGTTAGCTAAAAATATGATTCTGACATTCGAAATATAACAAATTTTGCCGTATACAATTGTTTGTTTTTATATCATCACCATTTGTATATTACCATTTGTATACATACATTCATATAGTACCATTCAAAAACTTTTGTAAGACATGTTAAAATTATTGATAATAAACACGATTTTCTGAGTGCGTTATGATCCAGTAAAATCCATCGTAAATATTTTTTACAGACAGTCAACAGTAGTTTGAAAATAATCAACAGACAAAATCAAATGTGTTAATAATACTTTAGATACATGTACAAATGTATATTATTAATACGCATATCATAATACCGAATGACTAATCTGGTTCGGAACACATTTGCAACAACCTCGTAACGGTTGTTAAGTTAATGTAGCATATTTTCACATATTTCTATCAAACAATAAGAAAAAAGAAGAAAACAAGAAAACAAGAAAGTTAGCAAGAAATTTATATTGAGAGTCTTCCATTTTCTGAAATAGGTATTTTTGACTGATCTTATAAACCATGAAGGTGTTATACTTTCTTTTTTATTATTGCGTGGAAAGCTTTTTTCAATACGAGATTACTGTACTTTATCGCACATAAATCAGTTTGTATCAACAGATGATATTCAGAAAAGACTAATCCGAGCGCAAAATAAGCGTGTTCCGGACTGATAGGTCACGCGGTAAGGACTCATTTAATACATTTGCTTATTCAATGTCTCCCCTCTACTAGTTATATCTGCAGTGTCCTCTGACCAGGGCCTAAATGTAGCTCTTATTGGAGGCGTTTCAGCATCGGCTGTTGCAGTCATCATCTTTATTGTGTTGCTGGTCGTTTTCTTTTTGCATCGAAGGTAAATATCAAGTTATATTATCCAAATATAACTTTTTCAATGAATTGCTGATCATTTGATATTTTACAGTTGTCTGTAATTGTAAATAATGCAAGGCAAGGTAGCACTTATGATAAACTTTTCCTCATTACATTTAAAGTGACATTAAATTTGAACCAAAGGTTATTAAATTGTTTTTGTAGGAAATACATCATTTCTCATATCGTGTAAAGATCCCAGTTTTTATAAAACAAAAAGTTGCAAATTTATAGAAAGAAAGTCACTATATACTTTGATTTAATGTACCACTTTATTATAAATTAGCGCTAAAATAAATTCATAAAGGTACAAGTAAGTTGGTGTTTTACAGAAAACATGCAAGTACGAATACTACTAACGACAACACTGGGAATATAGACCAATGTGAAACTTTACGGACAAGGAACAACATCTTACATGAGGGTGCTTATTCTGAGATTCAGGAAGTGACTTTAAACCATACATATGGTAAGATGAACATGTTGCACAAAATATTTCAGCGTTATTAAAGATAGCTTATGTGTTTATCTTATAATGTAAGTTTAAAATATAACTCCAGATGTTTCTCATTTACGAGTAGTTTGACGCATTACTTCATGGAATTTTGTTAAAATGGCTGTTTTCATTGAAAAGCATCCTGTTACAAGTTCAAATCGCTATGAAACTATGAAAAACCTTAAATACTGACCACACTTCGCACAAATGTTGACGGACCATAGCCTCTGACCCCCTTTAAACCCCCAAAACCCCCAAAGCAGAAGGGGGCACATTCCCCTCTAGCACCCTCTTGGTGTATCCATTTTATAGGGTTAGCGCCGAAAAAGTGATCACTTTTTTAACAACATTTTTTTCAAATGAAAAACAGTGTCTCACTATTTTAGGTCTCAAAAGGGGGATAGGGATGAAAAGCCGTCAAAACACGTCTTTATGAATCGATGAGTTAACTAAGCTATAGGTGAAATGTTAAACATTGTTTGTAGGTGTAAAAAGTAAGAAATTGCTTATAGTGTTGTTATAGACAATTATCTTTCAGTTAACCAATAACAGCTGCTTTTGATTTAAAACTTATATGTTAAATATGTATATATTAATTCATTTATTAAAATGATTCATTTGGAAACTATAGTTGGACTTTGTTTACACTTTTTGAAAACAAATCATTCCAAGAGATTGGACAAAAATACGATATTTAGGCTAAAGCTATAGGCAATAGTTGATGCAAGGCTCAAATCAATTTTCTGACCACTCTTGGTGATTGCAGGAGGAATAAAGTGTTTCCACGATATTGTGCTAGAATGTATATACAAAGTCATCAATATTCAAACTTGAGAAATCACTGGTTTGAAAACGTAGTTATTAAAGAATTTAACATAGTTATTGAAGAGTCCACTCACAGCAGTAATTATGTATGCATATATTTGTAAATTTGCATATATATCTTTCTTAAATAAATGTCTGAGACCAATCAACCAAATATGTAAACAAGATCAATTAGATGTTTTTTTCACTGAACTTGGAAAAAGATTTTGCGACATTTTAAAATAATACACACATTATAAAACAGACATTTTATAAGTTTTAAAGCATTGAAAATGTTGAAAATGAGAAGTCTTCAAAACATTCTTCTAAATGTGATGAACATCTTATAATCAGTATTTGTTGTTTTTTTATTAATTTCATTTAAGAAAAAATAAAACTGAATAGGAATATTTAAGCATATTTGACATAATACTTTAAAGTTATATCTGCCAAAGACTTTAGTAGACTAATTTGTTTTTATTTCAAATGTTTGTATATTATCAAGCTAGCGTATTAATTCTTACTGTACATTTTGTAATTTTCATATTATTGTTGAATTCCTGTTCAGTTATTGTATAGTTTGAGTTTTCAAATACATGTATATTCTCATCTATAGTTTTATTTTAACATCGGTTCTGATACCGACACTTTGTGTTCTGACGTTATGGCTTGTCATATTTTAATACCAGAGTTCAATTGTATTCAATTAATAGTTCAATGTCAATGATGCAATCCACAGATATTCATGTTCGTGAGTACTGTTTATTGACAGCTTATCTTTGTTATACAGGCTCAAGAACGTCTGATCCGTTATAAAATTATATTTTGTTTAGTTCTACCCTTTATATTCCCTTTTAGGGCCTACGCTTTCACATGGGGACAATACGCAGCTTTTCGTGGAATAGCACGAACATTTCACATTGAAAATTCCATGATTACCGCAGTATAGATGTTTCAAACTTTAAGATGTCACTATTTTCGTGTTTAAATGTTGAAATCTGCTAAATGGTGCTAGTGGGCGTAGACGGTAAATCGCACTTCCAAGTACCGTCCCTGAACAGGCTCAATAAACCCGAATTTGCAAACTTTTTCAATTTTGTCGTTTTGATTCCGTTTTTTTTTTCTATTTTGATAATAAATGTAACATACATGTATTTTCTATAAGCATGGTACAACGATAGAATTATCCCGATGCGGTGCAAGACGACCTGTACTTTTACAGTAGACAAAACCAGTTTTCCAAACATCTTCTATGTCTTGTAAATCTTTAGAATTATAGAATTTACTGTTATTATCTGACGTGTGTATCAGGCTGTATGTCCTTTTAGAAACGTCTAAAGTTCGATAATAATGTAAAGCAGCTGATGTAACTTCAGAATAATCTATAATATCATTTCTTATTTCAAAATCCGGTGGTTTACATGTTTCACTAGAATTATTTTTAACATTAATATTGTACGTTATATCTCCAAATATAAGCTTGAGATCGTTAGGTTGTATAAATCGAAATATGAACAAAATTTGATTACTTTTAGTAGAAATATATGATGTACAATTTGATCCTAGAGTGATTTGTTTTCTAGTTCTGTCTAGAGAAAAGCACTCTTTTGCACGCAGTTCTTGAGTAATGTTATTCTCCCATATGATAAACTTTTGTATCGTTGGAATATCCGATTGATCAAATTCCAATTTGATTATTCTGTCCACTCCATGCCCGTGTCTGATATCGTTAATGTCAAACAATCTAAGAAGATTTTTATTTGTTGTTGATCTGCCCAGAGATGAGTCTAAATCAAACAATTCATGACTAAAATAAACACTGACATTTTCGAAATATTTCGCATCATCGTACTTTCCTTTAATATAATTATGAGGCACTTTGAAAATTTAAACTACCTTGGGTTTTCCTGTAACTGAGTGAAAGGAATAATGCAGGCCTCCTAGTTTAACCATCCTGACTATCAAAAAATTTTAAACGAAACAAATTTTGGATCTGTGGTTTTTTTTCATCTTTAAAATTTGTTCAGCCCTTTTGCCGCAGAAAATGCCCAAATAAAACAATATACGAAAAATTTACCCCAGCTACCGCAACAGAAGCTTTCATCAGTTGAAAATAACTTATGGCTTCTTCCCGACAGCCTATAATGATAACATTGATTACAATTTGTGGAACATCCTCAAGCCATACCGCTATTGCCGACAGTAATTCGACATCCAACCATGGATTTCCTCTGAAAATGTCCCGCCATAAATTAATTAACTCCAATGCAATGGTTTGAGTACCTATAATACAAAACGCCAAAAGAGCAAGACGTATGCTATCCTCGGGTGGTCCGTAAACTAATCCCTTCTCTGCAACAGCGACATCCTTAAATAGCAGCCAATCACTGATTAGATCTGCTACATCAATAAAAATGATTGACATGAAAATCAAAAGTTTGAAACGGAAGTTATCATGTAAACTGCGACAGCATGGTAAACTTGGTATAAGTCCATCTGGGTTATCATTTGCACCCTGGTTCATTTTATTGAGGGTTGGCTCTTACTCCTTAGCTCTGAAACATAATGTCAAGTTTATAGGGAATGTGATAATATTGTACAATTATTGTTTTTCTGTACATTACCGGGCAATGTTTAAGTGAATTGGTCTATAACGGAAGGCCTGCAATGCAATGTATAATTACGTTGATAGTATTTATTATTAGACATAACAACAGAAGAATAATACATGTAAGTTATTGGCAAGTACGAGATACATGTTCTGATATAACATATATTTATACAGCTATGGATGATAAAGTCTTCAGAGCAAAATAGCAGATAGAAAGTAAAGTGTTCCAGAACAAAATATAATTATTCATCACATAATCGGTCATTCTATATCATTTAGAACTTTATAAACATTTCTTTTCAAGCAGCATTTTATAAGAATACCCAAATAATACATTTCTGTTGTTTTTATCAATATTTGAAATACTAATGGAAAATGCGACCTATTTACTTCAAATATTCAGCCAAAAAAAAAATAAAAAAATACCTATTTGATACTGTTTATCCATGTATTGTACTACCCTATATATTCCATTAAGTACGTTTTCTTTACTAACGTAATAAATAAACATGAGTGTTTTAAATGTACAGGCTTTGTAGATTTATAGTACATAATCTTTTAATCCGTGCAGTGTAAAATTGGAAGTCTATTACTTGTAAATCGTTTAATTCTTTAAATGCTTTAGAGTTTGATTCGATTAAAAATTGCAATATCGCAACATATATGTCAGTATATATAAGATAAATATAAACATTAAAATATCGTTGATATATAAATGAGTTATTAAATATCATTTCATAAATATAAATGAGTTATTAGATATTATTTCATAAATATGTCTATAATGTATTTCAAATATTAAATCACTATGATATATATTTTAAACCCATACATAAATCAACCAATCAATCAAATATGCAATTGATTAATTTATAAGGCTGTAGAAATATAGTTTTATACAAGGCATAACGCTAAATTATTTTTTACCATTTTACTGACAATGTGAAGGAAACTCATGACAGGTCGACGGTGCTGTAAATTATCCTTTACATTATTGTTTTAACTGTTCAAAATGGTTTGTATTTTTTATTTTTTCTCTCATATTTATTTTTGCAGTTTCACAAGACTTTGATCATCCTACATCGCGGGATTGTTATCTCTGATGAATATACCATATATAGATTATACCGATCTCGAAACGTTTATGCAGGTTTACATAAATTATGTATAAGAAAATAAGTTTTTTGTTAGCTATAATTCATTCTGACATTTCAATCAAGCCTTTCAGTAGCCTTATCAAATATCAAGCTGTTCAATTAGTTGATTGTATTTTTGCTGAGCATTTAGCATGAACGTTTTCATATTGTTCGCTTTAGTATGAATGTAATTTATCTTGCATTTCGATACGCAGTGTTTTTAATTGAAGTTTACATATTGCGACATTGAACCGCCTAACTAGAGAGAGTAACAGTCTAAAAGGCTTGTGATTGGGGTTTTTCACTTTATAAATACCTTCGACGTTTTAAAATGATAGTATATTGTCTTATAAGAATAAGTAAATTAGTGTCATCATTTGCGGAGAATTGCTAATTTCTGATTATTAATTTTCCGGGGAGTCGGTCAACTGGGTATGACAAAAGGTGATTTAAAACGCGTACAAATTTACAGATAAACAAAGAAACAAAATACATTTTATTTAAATGAATTCTGTAACCGTATTACACAATGTATTATTTCTTTCAGGTATATATGTATCTTACATTTGTTTTAATTTGTTTTGTGGAACATGAAGTGTTTTTGCCCCTTTGTGTTCTCGTCACACTCCTATTTGCTCAATATTCGTTCTATTTACCAGGATTGTTGTCGAAATAAGAACAGAAGATGTTATCTCCGACTTGTAAACACCACCTGTTTAATTGTCAATTAACCTATAGCTCTTCAGCGCTTCTTATGTAAAATTCTTCCAAGTATAATTTCCAATAACCGTAAATTATACCATACCCAGACTATGGTATAATTTTCAGTTTTGAAGATCGAAGGAGTAAGTGTTTCTGGGCGGAGCTATAGGTTAAAACAGATACACCATTGGTGCGTTGGCGATTTCTGGGTTTCGTGAGGTTAATGCATAAGAAAGGTCACGTGATTATGGTATAATTTACCCAGAAATCGTCAACGCAGCAATGGTATATCTGTTACATAATCTTGACGTATTTGTGCAGTCTATATATAACCTAATGATTTTTCGGGCTATGGGAATATTTATTTATTTTATCATGGCAGATAACTGATGACAACAGTCAATCAATTAATCGGTTATAAAAAATTGTTCTATCGCCTTAAATTTCTAATAAAGAATATGAGATACATAATAACATCTTGTAAATGCTTTGTTTTTGAAAATCCATCATCATGGGCTTCAGGGATATAAATAATAAATTATTAGTAGCAAGTCATAGATAATATGTAATAAATAGTAAGTTATAAAGAAGTTTTATTTCATTCAAAACTTATAGGCTTAAAAGCCCATAAGATATACATATACAAAACTTTATGACAAACAGTTTATACAATTGACAATAATTTCTTTATAGCAATATATGTTACAGTTTTATTTAACCATGAAAAGAAATGGTATTCAGAAAAAGTTAGATGGCCAAGTGACATAGCAGTATAGTTACATTGCTGAAAATTGGATAGCATTCAACATCCGGATACTGTTACACTTCAAAAACAATCATTCTGTGCAATAGATAAACGTAATATGGATAAAATCAATAGGATTATCGTTTGCAACAGTACCATTACCAATCCTAATACTTATTTATGTGAACGTTTTTTTTGTATGAAAATTTTAAAAATATATATTATTTTCAAATATAAACAAAGCCTCTCTCGGACCTCAAAGACCACCTTAAACTGCTTACGAAAAAGGTTTGACATAACAGTATAAATAACGAAACAATAAACAATGCATAATTAACAAAAATCAATATACAGTGAAATAGATAAATACAGAATCCCTAAAGACAGCCCAACACGGCAAAATTGAAAATGTTGCAGGCTCGGTTTGATTGAGCCTGTTCATGGACGGTACTGGAAAGTGCAAGTTACCGTCCACGCCCCCTAGCACCGACTTAAGCAGAATTCAACATTTAAACATGAAATAGTAAAATTATTAATTAATTAATTAATAGGAAAACTATAAAAAAAACAAAAATAAACTATAAGATAAATAACAAAAAATGAAAAAAAATACAATTGACAGCAATGTAGACCGCAACAAAATTTTCGGAATCCGGCTTTTAGTATAGGGATAAGCTGTTAAACTAAGACTTGCAATTCATGAAAATAAGTATAACAATACACATACTTTTCAATTAAGTTATTGAATACAAATATACAACATATTTGTTAACTTGAATTTTAAAAATAAAAATAATTAACACAACATTACATAAACTGCTAATAATAACAGCTCCTACCATGGGCCAAAACAAAAGCATTCCTTAAGAGACGACGACGCTCACCAGCGCAGCCAATCAACAAACGGTCAATTTTTACAGTATTCACATTGTTTTATAAATTTATAATCAACAAACTGTACAATTTTCACAATATAAACATATTTTAATACATGTTGTACTTCATATTTTAATTGTATATTCACAATGAGCACAATGATACAACTGTTTTATTACATAGTACACAACCATTCCATGTCTTAACAGTGAACACATCGTTTAATTTGATCGCAGTGCAAACATGTCATATTTCGAAGTGCATAGGTTTCTTAGTTCACACCACTCAAAGAGTATGTTAGCATATTCCTAAATTTGGACTTTACTGCAGGACACCTACTCAGTCCTGGCGAAAACAGGAATTCATGGTATTGCAAAGTCTTTTATATTGTGTTCGAATTGCAGGGATTCTAGTTGCGTAAATAATTGGATCTAAAACTGTGTTAAGTAAATATAAACATCTTGCAGCAACGCTCGAGGCTAAATAATAATATTTTCCGGATGAAATAAATGATTGTACCAAAGTTGTAAAAAATGGCGAGATGCATAAGAAATAGGAAGTCATTATTAGAAAAAACGTGACCGCTGTTTTTGTTGTACGGTGTCTATATGAAGATGGTTGCCGATGCATGAAAGACCGTATGGTACAGAATATGATGATATAAATTGGAATAGAAATAAAAAAGTAAAAAAGACTAAGAATAGTGTACAAAGCGCTTCCTAACAGGAACAGCAATAACATGTTAATATGATAAAGATCAGTAACAACCAAGAGCGACAACAATAGCAAGATTGGTATACACCATAAACATGTTATAATAATGTTTCCACGTCTTTTTGACATTAATGTTTTATACCGCAAAGGTTTCCGTACTTTGATAAATATATCAACTGTTATTGCACACATTGTTCCAAGACTAGCAAATTGTGATACTACGTATAAGAATATAAATAAAGTAGCAACTATGAAATTCTTTAAACCTAGTAAGTTGGAGAAAAATGACACAATAAAATGGAAACATGCTATCAAGCCGTCTGATAATGCCAAACTGAGGATGAGTTTCATCTGTGTCTTCCATCGTCCCTCTAATAACAACAGAATAATTGTTAAGGCATTGAATAAAATACCAAATAATGATATAATACATTCTATAAAGGTAAAATAATTTCCCCAATCAAAGTTATCCATTGTGTTAGCACAGTTGAATAAACTTTTGATTGTGTCATTGGTGGGAATACTGTTGTTTGTCTTATCCATTATGTCCGTCGTTATGCTACGTCTTGTATGACCGTCGTTATGTTAGTTACTAGTATAAACGCCATGCTCTATATAATTCCTTGTATAATCATCAAAACTCTCATGCTTACACCAAATTATACTTGGTATTTGATAGAAATTAAGGAAGCCAATAGCCAATTTGATTTATGTAAACAATAGTTTATTGAGTCCTTTTTTCACTTTGATCCCTTGTCTGATTTAAATTTCTGTTGCTTCGCTAAGTAATCTCTCTAAACGTATTCATCTTGTAGATTCTATCTCCTTAGAAATTGTATCAATATCTCCAATCATTAGTCCTATATCCTCTTTCAACATTAACATATATCTCCAAAATGATATTCTCAGACAATTGTTCTTTGAGATTTTTACTTAATTTCAGTTAAAATATCTTTCATGGTACGTGTCTCGATCTTATTCTTATCATTTTATAAATTTTCACATTCTAATATCT